ACTGAAAGTATTGTGGAAGGATGAAGATACAGTATTGTGCAATAGAATCTTGACTACAAAAGATTTGAAACACAGTTATTTCCAGGAATTGAGACATTTTAGCATTGACTACTGTATGATTTGGTACTGTGGTTTTTGCTTTCTAGTTAGGTTTAGTAAAACTGAGCCCAAAGTACTAGCAGAAGTTGGAGCATGTGAGGATGGGATTTATCTCATCTATCTGAATACATATAGTGTGGCGATTTTACCCTATATTTTTATCTAATGGGGGAGAAACAGGTACTCCCAAAATGTGATTAAACCTGCTCTAAAGCAGATGTCTAACATAGATCAACCTAGGAAACGCAGGAAGTGATACAATAGATAGTAGATCATTACTACAGTTTGCCTGTTTGCTTATTCATCCACAGGCTACCTACTCATTAATATAGTTACCTAACATTAGCCTGTTTATATACTTTCCTATGAAAAGGATTTTTAAGCAATCTGTTAATTGGTCACTTTGCTGTACCTCTGTTAACCTTCTTGATTCTGTTATTCAGACCACAGATATATGAATGGTGAGGAGATACGAACTCAATCTGACAAAGCCATTACTGAGAATTTAAAAAGTGAAATTGATCTAAGATGAAATTTTCATTTTTGGATTGCCCCTGTCATGAGGCTAGTTACATCTGCTTTAAATATCTGCAAACAGGTCTTTGGAAACATAAGAGCAGAATAATTTTTTTTTTTTTTTTCCCCACAGTGCAATGTGAAACATCAGAGAAAAATCACGGCAGAGGCCCATGTTGTTCACTGCTGCCCAATTTGAAGCTACACAGGTTCCCCTCAGGGAACACGGATTTAGAAAACACATAATATTGCCTCTGGATTTAGTGTTGGGTTTTGCTTTGCCAACAGCTGGCATTAGATCAGGTCCTTCCAGCACAGCCTTGATTATCATGCAGAACCTAAAAAATGTTGGAATAATCAAGCTTTCATATAATCAGGGGCATATTTAAAGTATTAAATGCATACCAAGAGACATGATTGTGTAACAGCTAACAGGCAGTTACAGATCACCAGCTCTGGAAAATGAAACAGAGAAACAAATCTCTTATTTTATGTTATTATTATTTCAGTGACATTTTGTAATCCAACAAAAGCCCTATTAAAAAATAATTAAAGAAGTTTTTATCTTTATTGTCTTGCTCTCTTTACTTATTTTCATGGTGTCTGAAGAGATTCTCCTGGCATTCTAAATAATAAAGCAATGCTTAATAGCCATTTTTCCATAATCAGAAGATGAAGGTCTTAGCACATTGTGAGGAAAACTGGTATGTTGCAAACAGAAAACTGAAGCATGAGAAAATGTAGCGACTTTTCCTGAGTAAGCTAGTGGCTGTAACAGCGCTATAACCCGGATCATGCTATCTACAGTCTTATCTTTTAATGACCAAAATAAAGTTCTGAAGTGATTCCTGAAGTGAATTCATTCCCATTATCAATGATAGTACTAATTCATATAAGTCTGAAGACATAAGACTAACCAAATTCAAAGTAGTAACTTAATTCCTGCTTGCTGCTAAATCAGTAATGAACAGTTTTTGTAACACTGGATGAAAAGATGTGAGTCATAGAATACCAGTGAGATTAAAGATACGGCTTAGATCTCACATAAAAAATAAGTCATGGTAAATACAATGTGCTCGTAACTGAAATCCAATAAAGGTTGGCTAAAAATCAACTAGGGTTCTCAGTAGCTGCTGACTATGATGCTTGAGTTACACTTGCACCTAATGTTGAGAAGGGTTTAGAGATTACGATGAGCTTTGCAGAAAGACTCAAAGCTCTAGGAACTATAAAATTTTAGAGTTACATATTCAATTCACACAAGTATAACCATGGGAAGTCCCTGAAACCTTGACTGAAAAGGTGAGTTCCCACTTTAAATCTACTGGATATGTGCTTCTGCTAAAAGAGTTCTGGGAGTCTTCAGGAAAACTTCACCAACGCCATTACTCTCTTTATGTTGGGAGTTTCAACAAAAGAAGAACAATGATTAAAGAGGACCAAACATATCCCTGATCCTCAGAAGAGGTATATTCATCTGAGAAGAAAGCAAGTTAAATCTGGAAAGCTTTTGTGATCTACTACTGTCCATGCAGGAGCTGGTCTAGAGTAGAGCTGATTTTAACTTTCAAGGCTTTCAATTTTTCTTTTTGTTGTTGTTGTTGTTGTTGTTGTTGTTGACAGTTTTAAGAAAACAAAAGAGAAAATTTTGTAGGTTGGGAATTCTCCCAGGATTCAAGATGTTGCTATTTTCTATTTCTAGAGCAGAAAAGTATTTTTTTGAAAACACAGCTGTCTATGGATGCAGAGATGATTGTTTTCTTTCTTGCTTTTGGGGGGAGGAGAGTAGCAGGGGGGAAGAGGAAGGAGGTAAGCTTTTTATTTCTCATTTACTACCCTTTTATAATAATTTTTTAAAAAACTTCTGTGACTCTCTCCTTCAAACATCAGTCTCAATGACAACCATTCGTAAAGGCATTTGGATTACATGGGCTGCAAAAGGTTTTAATCAAATGATGAATACAATTTTCATTTCACCCTAGTTTCATTTATTTCCTGCAAGAAAAGGTTGGGAGCAATTTTGCAGCGCATGGCATTTTAAGCCTGAATTTATTTATTTTATTTGCATTACAAACTGTGGACTGTAGTGAACTTGACAGAATTCACTAGATTCTCCCTAGAGGAAGTGAGAAGACTAGAAAAGTTGTAAGGCTCTACTATGACTGGATGGTTGCACTTAAAGAGCTGTGGTCTACATCTTTATGTCCAGTAACAGTGTTCCTCAGGGGTTGGTATTGAGAGCAACAATATTTACATCTTTGTTTGCGAGATTGAGTATCGGGAAGAAATTCTTCACTATGAGGGCACTGAGGCACTGGAACAGGTTGTTCAGAGAAAGTAGGGATGCTCCCTCCCTGGAAGTGTACAAGGTCAGGTTTGGATGGGGCTGTGGGTAACCAGGGGTAGTGGAAGGTGTCCCTGCCCATGGCAGAGGGTTGGACCTATGTGATTTTAAGGATCCATTCCAACCCGAACCATTCCATGATTCTGTGGTGACACTCATACCATGATCATTTTCATTCATTTTCACATCAGTTTTGACAACTGTGGTTTCAGGATTCCCATCCCCTCTTCACGCTAGTCTAAATAACTGAAGAGAATTCATTTTTCACTTCTGGGCCATTCAACTAAAGTCCCATGGGCAGACTATTCTCAAATTGGTCTGGTGAAGGAGATGATAGAAATAATTTTACAGAAAACTAACCATTCTCTCTTTGTGAAGAAACGTTAAGAATCCTAATCATGTCATTTTTGTTAAACTTTAAATCTGGACACAGTTAAGCCTCAGATCCACACTCCAGCCCAAGCCCAATTTGGATACAAATTAGGATACAAGTTTTTATCCAGCACACATCTGGTTAAAGGATACACAACATTTTTGTCTGACTTCTTCCAGAGGTCTGTCTAGTGATTACAATCAACTAGTTTAAACTGCTCAGACTAAAGAACAACAGTAAATGTACCTGACATTTTGAAAAAAATGCTCTGAAATAATCTGAAAAGAACTAAAGAGATAAAGTTTGTTGAAGAAAGAAAAATAAAAGCAATTCTAGACTGAGCTTAGCTACAGGGTGGAATAGACATCGTCCTTCCATTCCTGCCCATAGCTGTAGCAAGACTGCATCAAGCATACCTGAATAGAAACTCCAGAGATTATTGAATTTGAGGTTTGGTGAAAGTTGTTAGAAATATCTAGGACCGTACTCACATACATAACTAACAGCAAAAGCAATCAAAATTCCTGCTGAAACAAGAAAGGGAAAAGAGCAGCAGAAATATTTGAGATTTCTATCGGAGAAAAATGCAGATGACTTGTATGGAATAATTATAATTTGCTACTATTGGCGAAGAATGAACCAGAGTGAAAAAAGGTACAGGAAAATGTCAATTGGAAGAAAAGAAATATGCCCCTAGTACGGCCCCAATGAACAATGTCTTTCCTGTAGTGCCATTAGAGCAATGTTTTTCTATTCTGCTTATTCACACTGCCCTATCACTCAAGAAAGGGAAAATAAATCAGGCTATTGCCTGACCTTTAAAAACACTGATTCTCAGTGAATCATCCCCACTACTGACACCATTTGATTGTCTCCTCAAGTCTCTTTCTACACATTCAACAGCTAGTAATAACAGTGCTCTGGGCCTTGAGTTTTCATGAAGCAGCCCAATTCCCCTGGTCCTTAAGGTAAATAAAGTATAGCAATTTGAAGCAAACAAAAGAGAAATTTATCATCACATCCACTGTGCCTGTAGAGAGAAAGTCAGTGACAAGAATGAGATCTTTGTGACCCTCTAACTGAAAACTCAACATGGCATCAAACAATTACTTCTCAAAATATTGAAACCTTTGTTACTTTCCCTTCACAGTTATTTTTAACTTCTTGTTCTGTCTTCCACTAAGATGGAGAAAAATGCCCAACGACCAGAAGAAATTCTTTCTGTATTTATAGTTTGAGTTGACTCATAAAGGTCTCTGGGAAAAACAATGTGAAAGAGAGTTCCATAGTTATTTATGAATACAGTAAGGTTTACAGAAGTACCGTGGCTATTATTCTAGCATTAAAAACTTAGAATGCATTAACTTTGTTTCACCATGTTGTGCTGCAACCCACTGGAAGAGAAAACAGTAGTAACTTGTAAACTAGATTCTGCTCTTGTCCTCCTCCCCACCTCTACTTTAATTTTTTTGTTTGTTTGTTTGGTCAAAACTGCCAAAATGATGGGGAAAAAGAAGTAAACATGACCTGAAATTTATTACTTTCTTTGGAGTGAGAAAAATAAAGAAAAAAAAAAAAACACATACGTTTTCAAAATAAAGAAAAAAAAAAAAAAAAAAAAAAAAGTCTCCAATGCAGTTTCCAGTATCTACTATAAGACATACATACCTGATGTGTCCAAAATCATCGTCTGTCCTCCAATTTCCTTTGCAGATTCTTCTGACTCTTCATTGACTGTTATGGAATAGAAATGAAAATAGGAAACTGAGACAACTGAAAGTGGAAAAAAATGCTAATATAGAACAACTTCAAATTAATCCCTATTTCTGCTCATTGAACTTTGAGGCTGAACTCCTTGAGAACTGATTTATCTAAGTTGTCCATTTAGGTCACCAAGGTCATTGAATCTCTGCTGTCAGAGGAAGAAATCTCCTATAGCCAACAAACAGCAGTGACCCCCAATAATTTCACTAAAATTCAGTGATTATTTCACTCATTTAACTATTTTTACCATTGCTACTTTCATCTTCAGAAGCCTTTTTCTCATTTGTAGATTAAATTTATTCATAGTCAGTTCATATTCATTTATTCTCATGCCAATGTTTTCCTTTAGCTTAAAATGGCTTTTCTTCCCTGATCTTTATTCCCTGGATGTATTTCTAGAGAATAGCTACATTCCCTCTCTGTTCTCATTTTGAAAGGCTTGAAAAGGCAAGTTTTCTTCTAATGTCTCTTGAGCAATATACTCATTATTTAGCTATTCATCTAGTAACTCTTTTTTGCACCTCTTTCAGGTTGATTTAATCTTCCTTGACTACAGATTTACAGAATTTTCAGTGTTGTAGAACACTGCTATAGAGTTGGCATGATTGGAAAGTTTCCCACATCCATCATATATTTAATTGTGAGAAATGAATATCTATTTTACTCTTTAGTCAACGCCATCCTGTATCTTAAATAGCTCTATTTCTTTACTGTTTATCCTGCTTTATTCCTAGGTAGTAATCATCTGATTTCTCAGTTTCTGTTTTGCTAAGCTGAACAGCTTATGTTCTCTTCCTTTTCTTTCACAACTGGATATTCACTTATTTTCTTAATCATTTTAACACTCGTTCTCTACGTTTACTCCAATCTGAAATCATTTTTCTCACAAATTTGGAACTCACTGACAGCATTCCAAACACCTTCCCACAACATTGCTATTAATTCCCATACATCCGTCTGATATATCCAAGGAGAACTCATTTTTAATGATGGCATCATACCAGTGGCTCAGCCACTGACAAATTTTGGGACTAATAGATATTTAGATTAATATTTATCTAAATATATTTAGATATATAGATAATCATTTTCTTTCTCTTTTAGTTCTGGATAGTGAGATCTCAGGGAATATGATAAATTCTTGTAATTTAACCTATATTGCATAATGGTAAAGAGTCGCTTATTTTGCCCCTTTCCTATTACTTTGAATCATCTGAAATCTAATTCTTCATGGATATTATTTTGAAGCTGATTAATATGGCTGTTACCTTTTGTGTTTATGTCATCAGCTCTTTTTCTGTTCCAGGACCAGAATCATTCACAAAAGCAATTTATTAAATCACTCTTAAGATTAATTTTTGAGGAAAAACACCAGTTTTACTGCGCAATGATTCTTGTTCTAACACTACCCCTCCTGTTCATTGATTCATTCTGACCATTGAGCCACATTCTTAACAATTTTGTGGGTTTTTTTTTTTACAGATCTACACAATACTGATCCACCTACATAAAACTAGTAATGAACACAGCATCGTATCTGAAATAACTTACTGAAGTCTGGCTAGAGAAGAGCAGATGTGCTTTCTTTGTATAGAAAAAAAGGCCACAAAATAAATCAGATTAACCTAGCATTATGCACATTCAATAAACCCTTGTAGCATTCTGTACATCAGTCTCTTCAATGATTTTTTTGAATACTTAACAAACTTCCAAGGTCTTACCAAGGATTTCTTGCTTTTCAGTTCATTTCTTCTTTTATGTAAAAGCACTGAAATATCTTATTTCCAGCTTTATGCTGTTGCTACTTTGAAATGCACATTTAAAATCCTTCCTGAATGAATGAAGATTTAATTTGGCAATTCTCTCAGGGTTCTGAGCTGAAGAAGAGCTACCCCTATCATTTGAGAACATTCAACACTTTGCGTTCAGCTTCCTCTCAAGTTCAGTTTGGAATTCCAAACTCTCGTTCCAACTACCTACCATCACCTTTTCTTCATGTATATAATTGGTCTTGTTTAAGACTATCAGCTGTCCTGTTCCTTCTGGCATTTCGTATACACACTGGGAGATTTCCTATCTTTCAGCCACCCCTTTTTACTTTTGGCTAATTTTATCCATTTACACTCTGATGGCAATTTTTAGGGATGTATTTTTCTTCAGATTGCAAGGGCTACTTGAGTCAACAATATTTTTAAACAAAACTTCTCCATGCCTTCTGGGATCTCAATAACAAACAAAGCCAAGGACCTCTGGACCTAGCAAGAACTAGCCATGCAGAGGCTTTCTGAAGAAAGGCTGTAGAACAGAGAAGATGAATGTATGTACACGTGTGCAGGAGTAAAAGATACCCTAGTTTCCTGTATCTGCTCAAGGTAACTAGAGCAAAACAGTGGAAGTTTTTCAGAGTTTTAAGCACTCTCCATGGATCACAAAAGCCTCCAATTTCATCAACACATTTCTTTCCATTGACAGTGTTGGACTGGTTTAGGAAATAGCTTTTGTTGTCAAGAACTAAAACCCTATCTTATAAAATCCTTTATTTTTATCTCTAAGTACACAGGACATTATACAAAGAAAATAATCACAAGGACCTATCTGTCTTTGAAAGTTCCTTATCTGCATTGACTTTCAGTGGATGGAGTAATTTACTAGGTTCTCCAGCATTAGCAAGACATTACTGCATTTTCATCAGAATTGCATATACACAAAGTCATTTGAGAATGATTTCTGGATAGGGATAAAAAATGACTTGTGCAGTACCACTGAACACATGTAAATGAAACTAATTATAAAGTACATCAATCCTCATGGACCAAGTAACATCTTGTGTGGCTCCATTGGCCCTCTTTGCTCATTTGTCGAAAATCTGTTAATGAAAGTATATTTTAATTTGTAAATCGTTATCTGCACAGCTCATCTAGCACAGAATGAAGGGAGGTAGCAAACCAGCTCTGTGACATCCGGGACACTATAACTCTGAGTATATCTGCTTACTATATTTTGCATTATTTTAGAAGAAGGAAATGCACCTGCAAGGCATTCAGACACTCCACTATCCATGTCTCTTACTGCAGATGGCAAGCACAGAATCCTATCATGTCCTTGTTCAATGCCCAGTTTCTAATACTTCACAAAAACTTCCCTACCCGTGCAATTCATTAACGGTATTTTTTTCTCACAGTCCTTTCAAAAGCCTTAATTTACAGTCTGTTTTGAGGAGGGGAAAGAAACCTAGTTCAAGATAATGAATGAAGAGTTTATCTGCTAGTGAATGTTTTAAACCACTGGTCCCCATTAGGTGGCACTGCCACTTCTACCACTATCAATAAATCTACATAGCACATGAAACTATGCAAGAAGAGAGACAGAGCTCACAAATATTTGCATGTAATTCTGGTTGTGCTAGTCTGTAGGACAGAGACCAGGATGTGAATCTCAGCATCTACATCTGTGACATCCACATCATCTTTCCTATAAAGTTTGGGCCTCAATCTTCCAAGACAACTCATGTTTTCTCTATTTAAAGACTTGGGATGCTCAAAGGTTTTAGAAATGTCTGGGAACTTGTATTTGTTTTCTTCTCTATGAAACCTAGGTAAGACACTATAATACATTTTCAAAGTGTTGGGTTTTCAGAAGGCAAATTCAGAACATTATGGAAAATGGGTTCTCCTTATTACTTCTCATGCCATACATCTAAAATTTCAGGCATAAAAGGCAACCAAAACCTAATGTCCCTTTTGAGATATTCCATCATGCAACTAGCAACTAGTGATTATCTCAGATAAGCAACCATTCTGCCTTCTTCATAAAAGAGCATCTGTGCTCAATTATGCCAAGATGAGATATAATTTTCCTTCTAATCAGTCACTGGACTAGGATTTCAGCAGGTATGAGAGCCATGAAAGCAACTTGCATGAATACGGTCCAAGTTACAGAATAGTGCAGTCAATAATTTTTATACTTGCTTAAGAACTCCTTTAAGGAGCTGATCTGCCACTCAGCAGAGCATTTAAATTACTAAAAATACATGCCCATGTACTTTGTTGAGTCAAGGCCATACTTCAACAAAAGGCCTTCCATAAGCACCACCACAGAAGAAAAAACATCAGTAGCCACATACACTCCTCACACCTTGCAGATACTGAGTTTTTTATCAACTGCACAGAAGCACACATAGAAAATACACACGGAAATACATATAAAGAGTCTATATGTATACATATACATTAGTTTATATTTATCTTTTTCTAAGATAATCACAGGAAGCACCACAGAAATAGATACCTGATCCCACCCAAGTGAGAAGAAGCATGTGTACTTTCCACATGGCACATGGTGGGCATGGCAGCCAAGATTTACTTTGTTAGCCATTTAATGATTCTGTGTCTCAGGAAATAAAAGCTACTTTGGGTTCAGAGAACAAATTAATCCTGCTTTCTACAAACTACCTCACTGCTCTCTCTCTCCTTTCCTACCCATGAATTTCAGTAACTGTAAAACTATTTTTGCTTTCTGCTCTTGTTTTATTGTTAATGTGATTCTTCTTTAATGTCTACCAGGCTTTGCCTCTGTATTATTCCAAGAGCTAATGGGAATACGTTGTTTGGGCAAATCCACTGAACAGGACCCTGTGTAAGCAATTGTAGCAATTAATTGAACAATAGGATTAATCTCATTGTCAGACTATGCCACTATCTAATGACACACACCTGATGTCAGTGACAGTTGATGAGTTGTCAGCAATAAAGATATTTGGACTAGATAACATTACATATATCCAAGTGATGATCTTATTTGCTCACATTGCCCAAGGCAATATAATTCATAAAAATTCAGCTACCTTCATGCTTGCTGATATCGTTTGAGCTGATGCAGACTGTCACTATTCAGCATAAGTGGAATAGAAAGATTTCTTCAAGGATTCATTGTATTCTCATTAAGTCAGGCTATGCCATTGCCTACTCGCT